GTGGAGAGGTCCCAGAAACCGCGTTCAGACATTTGGCCATATTTATGGCCTGCCTATATTGCGGCCCCTGGCAAAAGCCAGGGTGGGGCTTCAAATAACAAAAAATTTCGTCCTAAAAAGGACGAAACTGGATTAATCTGGCTTAAGTCTGTACGAGTATATTGTTGGGAGAGTAACGAAAATATCCTTCATACTGGTAAAACGATATTACATAGACAAATCAATCCCGCCCCAGTGTGGGACGCAGTATTTTTTTTTTATAAGCCCTATCCTGGCTATATTCGGGGTCCCTTATATAACCTAACGGTTGAACGGGGTTTCCAGGACGTGTGCCAGGATGATCCTCATCCAAATAGTGGCACTTTGTGTCACTGGGTGGTTATCGCCCTTTGAACAGTCCTGGTGGGGTTAACAGCAACCGACATCCCAGTATTCTGTGGTGTGTGTGTGTGTGTGTGTGTGTGTGTGTGTGTGTGTGTGTGTGTGTGTGAGGAGAAACAGAGGGAGAAGTATGGGGTGAGAATGAGAGACAGTCACAGAATAAAGGGCACAGAGAGAGAGACAGACACTGAATGAGAGTACAGAAAAGATAAAATCAGAAACATAGACGTAATGAGAGGTAGTGAAAGAAGAAAGGAGACGTAAAGAGAATGAGAGACAAAGACAGGGAACGACAAACATAAAGAGAGAAAGAGAGAAAGAGAGAGAGAAAGAGAGAAGGAGTTGTGAAAATGTGCAGTCAAATAGACAGGGATACGCGAGCGCACAGACAGACAGACAGACAGACAGACAGACAGACAGACAGACAGACAGACAGACAGACAGACAGACAGACAGACAGACAGACAGACAGACAGACAGACAGACAGACAGACAGACAGACAGACAGACAGACAGACAGACAGACAGACAGACAGACAGACAGACAGACAGACAGACAGACAGACAGACAGACAGACAGATGTATATATGTGTGTGTGTATAGAGAGAGAGGGAGAGATAGAGATGTGACAGTGTTTAGGTTATCACTTGTACTAAATTACGGGTATAGTGTGAGAGAACTTGTATGCTTTTAATGAAATCATAGAGTTTGTATAATAATGTATAGAATATAGTAATGTATAAATAATGTATGAAATATAGTAATGTATAAATAATGTATAAAACAAATACATTTATTCACTGTGTTAGTATTTTTTTGTGAACTGCTGGAGAGAGAGGAGGGGACAGACGGACGGACGGAGGGACGGACGGACCGACGGACGGACGGACCGACGGACGGACGGACGGACGGACGACAGACAGACAGACAGACAGACAGACAGACAGACAGACAGACAGACAGACAGACAGACAGACAGACAGACAGACAGACAGACAGACAGACAGACAGACAGACAGACAGACAGACAGACAGACGTTTAAACGAAATAGATTAAATGCAATTGAAAACTGAAAGTCGAGAGGATCGACTTCATTTCTCTTCGGATATATTCTTTACAGCTCGGTCTCTCTCTCTCTCTCTCTCCCTTTGCAGACCTGCTTGCAGCCTGCCGAGAGCGAAGCACAAACTCCGTTGCTTAAGCGACGGTTGCCTAAGATCTCCCTGAAAATGGTAACGTGAATCGAATCATGCTGTCCGTGAGACAAACCCGCGACCTTTAGAGCACGAGGCAGTGCCTTGGCCACAACACCGCGAAGCAGCCCCCCCCCCCCCCTTTTTTTTTTCTTCATCCTTTTCATTTTTTTTCGTTCATACCAGGTTCAGTGTTCGTGGTTTTGTCGTTTCACTGATACCAGGTTGTAGCCCAGTGTCGTGGTTTGTCATTTCACTGATACCAGGTTGTAGCCCAGTGTCGTAGTTTTGTCATCTCACTGATACCAGGTTGTAGCCCAGTGTCGTGGTTTTGTCATTTCACTGATACCAGGTTGTAGCCCAGTGTCGTGGTTTTGTCATCTCACTGATACCAGGTTCTAGCCCAGTGTCGTGGTTTTCTGTATTTGTCTTGCGCTTCTCGGGTGGCGTGAGTGATGGATTTGTTCATCTTTTTGTAGGTTTCAGTTACATAATTTATCCATCTCTTTTTTTGGTCTACCCCGCCTTCCTGCTAGATGTTCTGCTGTAAAAAGTCTCACATGCAGTTTGGTTTGCCTGCATTCTCACTAATTGGCCGAAACATTTCATTCTTTGAATGTCAGTATAATCTGACATGGTCTTATTCCAGCTTCCTCTCTAATACTGGTATTCACAACACTGTCCTGTCTTGTGTTGTTAGTGATCTTACGAAGAGAACACATTTCACATGTAGTTATATTCTGTTCTCGTGTCCTTTTTATTGTCCCTGTTTGGCACCAATAGCATAAAGTAAGGATGAAGACGATGTTAAGCATTTGCAGTTTCGCTGGAATGGAGATTTTGTGTGTCTAAGCAACAACAACAAAAAAGAATCCTCTGATAAGGTCTGGAAGAAAGGACTCTTGCTAAAACTAGCACACAGTTGGATAAAATGGCATATGTTTGCCTGGATTAAAGACTTTCTTTACAAACGCTGTGCGAGAGTCAGACTGGAAGATCACAAGAACAAGCTGGTCAGGTTACAAGAAGGTGTCCCCCAGGGAGGTGTTATATCTCCTACCCTGTTTATTCTTTTCATCAATGACCTCCGAAAACAGTTTACGACTCACATTCACAAGGCGCTACATGCAGATGACCTGGCCATATGGACTCAAGCTTAACATATAGGAACAACTAAAACAAGAATGCAGGTCACAACAACAATTCCAGGCATAGAAAAAAAAGACAGAAGAATGTGACCTAGTACTGCGTGCAAAGACCCTTGAACATGTCTACAACTGTTATCCAAAACCCCAAAGGACACACGCATACATCGATGGATCATTGAAAGAAGGAGGAAAAAACGGAAAAGCTGGCTCGGTCCTCATGCTGCAAGATGAGACCACAGTAGAAACGCCACGCGCCTCTGAAAGACTTAGCAAACTTTAGAGCAGAGCAGCAAGCAATTATTGATGCAAGCAAAGTGCTTGAAAAAAAATTAAATCAGCAAAATTGTTTTACTATGTGAATGCATAACATTCCTCCAGGCGATTCAGAGGGATCCAGGAGACAATATGGAGAAAGAACTGACCCGCAAGCTAAACGACTCTCAGAACAAAAATCCAATCGCTCCCCAGTGGATCCCAGCTAACTGCGGCATACCAGGAAATAAGTTAGCAGACAGACGAAAAAAAAAATGGAACAAAGAAGAAACAACACCCATTCAATGCTATTACTAGAAATCAATAGGAAATAAGTACCGAACTCGGGCCCAGTTCCGCCCAGCTACACACTAGTTGACCCGTCACTGATAATTGGTCAGGCTGGTCTACGTTAGAGGGGTGTAGAATGCACGCTGTCGTGGGACGTAGGTTTAGTGCATGGGTAGGGGGTGGGGTTAGGGCCAGTTGAACATGTTATGGGGTCGTTAAAACTGCTCACATTCTGCAATATAGAAGTGTGTAGCTGGGCGGCGCTGGGCCTGAGTTCGTTACTTGTCACACCTAAAGACTCATCAAATGAAAATACAAGGAGTTGTGGAGAGAACAAACCAACAGTTAACATCCCAAGACCCGTCAGCAGACTTAACAGAAAGCAACATGAAACGAATTTCCGTCTACGAACAGGACACTCAAGGCTTAACTACCACATGCATAAAATAAAGACTGTACAGTCCCCACAGTGTACATACCAAACAGGACCACAAACACATGAGCACATTTTGCAGACCTACCCACTCTACCCACAACTTCGAAAAGAAACATGGCCTCAAG